TTTCTTGATAAAATAATTATTTTTCTTATTTTTTTATTGTACAGTCGAATATAAAAGTTTAAATTTTTTAACAAAAGATATATTTAATGATCTGATGAAAACCGCAGCCTTTATACTCGTATGTGTTGAGCATTGTAATCACTTTTAAGGCGCCTATGCATATTACGAAAATCTTTCGCAAAGTGCCGCGGCGTACCTCAAATGGATACCTATTTCTTAACACAATTTGCTGTACCGTGCTAGACTAGTCGCTTTGGATGTTTTCATACGTGCTTTGCTGCGAATTTCTTCTATTGTTTGTACGAACTTGTCAGTGCTGTTTCTCAGTACCTCTCGTATTTTATTGGACACTGATGATTCTTTGCAAGCTTTACTCAATTCTCTAAGCGCATCTGCATTATTATCATACTATTAAATATTCAGAAGACGATGCATTAGGGACCATTCACTTAAAAAAGTTGCGTAAAAAGAAGTGAACGAAAGAGGCCCGTCTAAAAAAAAAATTCTCGTCAAGATACGTTAAGCTACTGTTTTTTAGAACAGTGCGTGACGCACGACATAGGCGTATGGCCGAAACTGTCATCATGGACTCAGTCAGTTTTCCAGAGCAGCGCCAACTCACAATTAGTTGCACATCTCTCACGTATACTGAAATCAAACCAATGTTAACATATGGGAATGGTTTGCTAGGCTGTGCTCATGTATGTACATACCAACAACGTTGTACGTCGGCAGTGCGTACTATAATCCGTTTATGAATACTAAAGGTAAGCGCCCATTTATTCGTATCGGACGGACGCGACACATCGAACAGTCGAATCGGACAAAAATAATTACATTAGGTATTTTAAATGGAGCAAGGCACTTGTTCGCATCGCTCGCATCGCATAACGAGAATTCCACTTCGGATCCCCAAGAAAAAAATCCAATCGTCTATACGATTCGTACTGACGATGGGCCCACGATATTGAGCTCACAAATTTTTTATAGGCCATCTAGAAGTATTGAAAAAATTTTGCATCATACTGTATTAAATCTTCAAATAATAGAGTATGAAATTCTCCATAAATTTTCCTCTTCATATTGATATTGTGAACCAAAAATTTTTGTTTTCTTCTTCTCCTGTTTTTCTTCTTCCTCAAAAACGCATACAATGGCGAATATCTCTTCATCTGAACTGTTCATTTTAACAACAAAAATAACACGATTCGTCCGATGCCTCCACTACATTCGATGCGAACAAATGTGCGCTTATCTTAAAGTGGTCATATTTTTATAATAATGCGTAGGATGGGACCAACACCGAAATAAAAACTTAAGGTTGCATATATATTTGCAAAATATTTTTTTTGTAATCAAACAACCATTTTTTTATAAATTTCATTTTTCATAGTTACTGAAGGCCTCAGGCACGTACTCGCTCAGTCTGGACCCGGTTAATAATCATTAAGCCGGCCGCATACTAAACTGCATTGTGGTATATTGCGCCAGCAAGGCAGCCGTGCCTATTCCGCACCTTTTTTTCACCTATTATTGGTATATCTCCGAAGTCAGCTGAACATGTAAAAAAACGAAATTGAATGACTTTCATACGCGTCCCTAAAAAACTTTTCTGCTAAAGGTAAAAAATTATAATAATTCGTATATATTCTGTAGAAAATTTCTATTATATTGGCCAACAACATATTTTCATTATTTATGTCCTCAAACAATTTTATTATATTGACGGTAAATTTCATTTTGTTCCGTTTCAAAAGGTCTCCAAAATGCCATGTTGTAATAATATTAGCAAACAAAATATCCCTCTTATTTCTCCCTTTCGCAATAATTGTAATATGAATGATTAATAGAAGGTGCCTATAATTAATTAAAATTACCTGAATCACACCAAATTCCGCATTGCTGCACTGCACTGCTGGGTAATTTGTGAACCACTTATCAACAGCTGAGATTTATTGTCCAGTAGCCCAATGCAATTGTGTTTGGATTTCGTTTGCCCGCGCTCGCATTCTTCAACTGGGCGTATACATATCTACTACCTTCACGTTTAGTTCGACCAGACCTGTATATGGGTATGGATAAATAAATATATAAGTTTTTCAAATATTTCAATGCCGAGTTGCTGTGTCAGCCACTGAACCTGGTACATACTGTCAACCTTTTGGTTCTTCAATTAATATCGGAAAGACTATACTAACATGGTATTTCGTTTTACCTTGGAAGTCTATTATTCTGCTTTGAAAATAACAAATATTGCCGATATTTGTAATTATAAATTAATATACAGTGTGTTTCACTTAAAGTCGGGACACCTCCGTATTTAGGATGGCGTTGTCCGATTTCTAAAATACTTTTTTTTATGTGGCGGTAGGTACTCAAAAAGGCCTACTTTTTGATATTATATTTTTTGACGTGATCTTTTCAAGATATTTTAGTTTAGTTTTAGTTTATTATGTAATAGACAAGCATGTCGACATATAACACCACATCAGTTGAGAGTTATTAGAAATAAGATGAGACGAATTGAGCAGTTCATACCAAATGATATGGACTAATAGAAAAAAGTAATATTTAAGTATTATTTCGTTGTGAAACTCATTTCTGGTATAATAAAAAAAATATATAATTTGCTTGTCCTATTGTGAGCACCCTGTATGAGTAAAATCAATGAAACTGCATGGATATACCTTCGGTTAATAAAATTATTATTGCAATTAAAATATTTTTGGCCCGTCTTATCCAAGTATGTTGGAAAAACGTACGTTTTTGTAGTTGGCCAAAATAATATTCTTGTCTACTTTAAGTAGCCAATTCTTTCCCTCAATGCCCCGGAACAACGTATCTGTACAATAGTTTCTTATAATAATCTCTAAATTGTTAAGTAATAGAACTCAATATATATGTAAAAAAAATTGTATACCTACGTATATATAAATTAACGAAAAATTTTATGTTTTCAAACAGTGGCGTAACTTGTGAAACTGATGTCAGTAACATGTCACTGACTTTTCATATGAATGATAACAAAGGCTTATGATCTTCTAGGCGTAAACAAAAACTGTTATTGCATTAAAAAATTTAGTTGGGTAATAATAATGGCACCAGTTTAACTTCCTTTGTTATATACTATTCAAATATATTTTTTCTAGAAATTGCCATGTTTACTAAATTTGCATCATTAAATATTTTTACATTTAATACTATTTCCAAAAATAACTAACTGTAAAAATCATTGTTTACCTCTGGCTATGTTTATCACAAATAAAATAAAACGCCACAACATGAGCCCAAATATGCAAATAGTAATAAATGGTTTATTTGAATTCAAAACACAGTACTTACTTTACAAAATTTAATATTATTTACTGGTTTTCATATATGTAATTACCTAATAAAATTGTTTAAATATCATTGATTTAAAATGTATTTAATTTAATTGAACATGTAATTAAATTAACTTTGGATAAATATAATCTATGTGTTAATGTCTCATAATTACAAATATAATATGATATACAGGGTGTTTGTAAATAAGTGCGAAGTATTTTAGTAATTTTATGAAAAAGGTTCATATAAACGTAGGTCGAAATATGATTCGTTTCCGAGATACAGAGTGTTTAAATTTTAATTTTTTATTTATTTTTATTAATTATTTGAAAGTTTTAAAGAAATTAATGGTTGTATTTTGTTTAGAAATATTGACAGCAACCTACTAGATAATGAACCAATAGAAATTAAAAATACACACAAATATATATGTATTCCTTTTTTTCCAAAAACGGTGCATCCTGCGAAAAAAATTGAAGATACCAATTTCATTCAGAAGTGATGGCGGATTTCTAAATAAATATCAAAACGGGAAAAAGCCAGTGGCGTACCATTTTTTTCTATTTAAAAAGTTTGTGGCATTCTCGCACGAACACCACTGGTGCAAGTAGAAATATTCAGATCACCCCAAAAAATGCACACTTATCCCTCGAAAGCATTTTTCAAATTTCGAGTCAATATCTTTAAAACTCGGAAATAATGAATAAAAATAAATAAAAAATTAAAACACTTTATCTCCGAAACGAAGCATATTTCGACCTACGTTTACATGAACTTTTTTCACAAAATAACTTCGGCAACCACCCCCTAAATTATTTCGCACTTATTTTTTACATAAATTATACATTACTATTTAGCCGTATACTGTCGCTTTGACCGTTTTTTTTTTTTGTAAATTGTCACCAAATAAATGAACTGAAACTTGACTATGTATTTCATAACAAGACATAGATAACCGACTAAACAAACTTCTACAGGGTATTACGTGGTCAAAATAAAAAAAAAACAAACAAGCTAGGAGCCAGTAGTAACTCCTTACAAAAATATAGTAATTTGTAAATGACCTAATTAACATTGTTTTTATTATCTTCTAAATCAGTTTGTGAATAATAACTTCTGTTTACATACTAAAATGGATTGCGCGGATCCTCTTTCGCATTTATCTTGATAAAACCAATTGAATGATAAAATGTTGATAAAGTTATGCGATTTTCAATAATAATTGTTACAAGATAATATTTTTTTATTTTTCTATTTCAAAAAAATAATTCTTTTCAATTACTATCACTTTCATGCTACAAGATAAAAATTTACATTTTCCAAAAGGCAAAAAGTCGACATTTTCTTTATGAGGGTTAATGAGCAAGTTTTGGAATATTTTTTGCGACTTGTGTAAATATGTATCACTAGTATTCAGTAACATATAATATCAAAACTGGTTTAGAAAATAGAAAAAAACGTTACCAGCATGTTATCTTCAAGCTGCTGTAAGGAATCGGAATTGATGAATTTGTTACAATTTTGGCCACGGGACAGCTTGTAAAAGTTTGGCAGTCGAATTGACCATGGTTTGCGTTAAAGAAAACTTTGCCGCACTATTTTAAGAAATTGTAGTTTGAATATACTTCCGTACATTTTTTGCAACATTTCAGTTTTTTGTATTTTTTTCGTAGTTCTGCCCGTCCATGTGTTCCATGTGTTCGTGTGTACGCGTATGTGCTTCTTTCATAGTTCACAATGTGATACAATCGTGTTGTCCTTGTTCTTCCGGGGTAAGACTACGCTGATCTTAAATTTTTGCAGTAGAATTTCTTGCTTTTAAAACAGTTTTAGCAGTGGTGAGTTTTTGCTTGCAAATATTCAATTAAGCCCAAGGCTTGAGTGTTTTTTAAGTATACTTTTTCTTTTTGAACAATTCTTATGTTGCTTTTGGCTGAAGTTACTGTGATTGCTTATTTACTATTTTCTCTGATCTGTATATTAATTAAGTAGGGGTTACTGTAGTTTAATCTTATTTGTAAATATATTGAGACTATTTTGATTATTAGATTATTTTCTCAAACAGGGAGTTTCTGTTCAAATGAATCAAACTTTAACCACAAATAGTACTCAATAATACTGAATTATTTTCAGAATTGCCTTATAAAGCAAGGGTCTAGTTTCACCGTTTTCACTGTACAGGGACGTATTGGTCGGTTTTTAAAATCATTATTTATGAAATCTTTTTTGTGCTTATAACAAGTTTATTCAATTTTGGTGTGGTGTTATATTTATACAAGTGCATAATTTACTGGTAAAATTTTCAAATTTCTGTAGATAAGTGACGTAGGAATGGGTAGTAATGCGAGATTTTTTTACGCCAATGACCTAATAATCATTTGAGATTCATTTTTAGGTTCCGTGGACAATTCTACATATAAAAGGTATATCTGTTGAAAATCGATATTGTGTATCGTTTTACCGAAAGTCTCAGTTGAATTGGAAACCTTTCTTCTGATAAGAAATTCAGTTTCATGAGGATAGGAAATAAATTTTAAATTAATATTATTATAATGTCACGTATTAATTTAGAATTCAAAACAACATTAAATAATATGTTTCTACATCGGCTTAAACGACTGGTCAGTTTTAAATATAATTGTGTTTTTTTTATTGCATTCGTAATGTGAATTCCCTCTTTAAGGTAATTTTTTTGTTACGCTACAGTGCGGTGGACAGCATATTCTATGGCACCTCCATAGACATAATATTGTTTTGAATTCTAAGTCAATACGTGTGACATTATAATAATATTAAATTAAAATTTATTTTTCTTAGATCAGAAGAACGGTCTCCCATTGAACTGAAATTTTCGATAAAACGATACACTACCGATTTTCAACAACTATACCTTTTTTATGTAGAATTGTTCGCATATGTGTAAATGTTAACACCACACCAAATTTGAATCAGTTTGTTATAAGCCTACCAAATATTTCATAAATAATATGATTTTAAAAAGCGACCACTACGGTCCTGTATAGTGAAACTAGTGAGACTTGGACCCTCGCTTTATAAGGCAGTTCTGAATTACTCGTATTTATTGAGTAAGTACTATTTGTGGTTAAAGATTCACCCGAACTAAAACACCCTGTATAAAAATTTGATCTTGAAGTCTTCATTTTTGAGATGCAGATTATTAAAAAAATTATATCTATACATCTTCTATTGAGACGAAATTTTTGAATAAATACTCTCAGTTCGTACACCACGCCATTGGGAAAATAATTATTTATTGTCTTTTTGAAATACAAATTTTATTTTTAAAGAAAATGATGCCTTGACTTATATCGTTTTTAAGGGCAGGTTAAAACTCCCATTTATCGAATATCCGAAAAATTTCCTAAGTTTTCGAAAATTATTTTTTTAAATAGATAAATCTTGGCATCCATAAAACTGTTAAAAATTTAATAAACTTTTAGAATCTTAATTAAATTTATTTATAACTAATTAATAATGAAACAACCATTCTTTCATCATAAATCAATAACAAATTAGCATCATTTGTATCATAGAGAGTAGTACACATTAACATTTCAAAAATATAGGATCGTTTCCTCGTCCTTTAAGTGTATTTTCTCGTATAAATACTTGCCATTGAAGCCTCATTTTGAAATGCAGGGTGTTAAAGTTAAAAATAAGGGTATCAGGAAATTCATACGCAAGAAATACGCGTGGAAAATTGTTTTGAGGTACAAGAATACAATTTTGAACACTTTTTATAAAATCAATGAAACTCGTAATTTTCCTAATTGTATAATTTTTACAAATTGCTAATTTGTACCAAAAAGTTAAAAGCATGCAAAAAAGTTGGTAGATTATTTTAATTCAAAATACAAAAATTATTATTTAAAAAAAATTCTTTTCCAGTGGCGTTTTGGGGATAATGTAGTCTCAATACCTCAGATTTACCTAATTGATTTGAGCTGACTTATTTTTCCCTTTGAATGTATTGTACACAAAATTCTCTCTCAAGGTCTTCATTTAATCAAAAAAAAAATTTAGCATATAATATTTTTTAAAGCTTCCTTTATTTAAAAAACGAAGGTCTCTATAATTTCTCATAATTCATTTGAAAGTCAGACACATAACTACACCTATGTAACTGAATGGGCTCAAAATAGTTTTTTTCCAAATAACAAACGCTTTGGCCAATTTAAATGAAATTTTATATACGAGTTTATAATATATAGACATACTTTTTTGCATAGTAACCGAAGTAGTTACATTTACAAAAATAGGAAAAATGTCACTACCCCTAAAGCAAATAATATAAAAACATTTACCCAAACATTTACTTTTGAGAAAAATATTGGAAATAATCACAATATTTAATAATGCCAAAATCAGTTAAAATAATTATAACTGCACTCATCTCAAATTTCTCGCATGCTGTAAATTGTGACTATCAATCAATATGTGGTTATTTGAAAAGCATTAAATTTGATGAATTCTACAAGGCACTAGGTACCGTAGATAATTTGCAGAATGAGGAAAATTTGAAATGAATGCATTTTTAGACAGTTACCTATGTGTTATTGAAAATGGTGACACTGTCCAATAATTTTCATGAAGAAGCATTTTTCAGTAGCTAAAAGCTTCTGACTTTGTTAAAATGTGGTTTCATTAACAATAATATTAATTAAAAAATTAAACATATTAATATTTTTTGTAACAAATCACCTATGATGTTTTTTTCTGAAGATGGGATAAGCCCGAAACGATCGTAAAATAAAACAAATTGGAAATTATATATTTTATTGACCAAATGTCCCAGTAAATACATTCAGGGATGATATTTTTTACCCATTTTGCAAATACAGTTACTAGGTGATGTAAAAAGTGACATCTATATAGAAGTTATACCAAATTTCATTCAAGTTTGAAATATTTTAACATTTCTTCCACGCTCTTGTCCTGTGTCGGTTCATTTAATTGTAAGAGTCAGACTGTATTTGTTATAGGTTAATACAATTTAATTTATTTCACCAAGTCCACTTCGTTTAAAAATTTTAGAATAAAAATTCAGGATTTAATTTTATAAATACAGACATTTTTTATATGTCTGGCTTCCATTTCTTAATGTCACATAAAATTGATAAAATAAGAACTACTCGATTTTTTAACTACTTGATTTAGACTACTATTTATTAACATGTAATAGTTTAAGCAAAAATTGTTTCCTTTTTGAAGCGTGCTCTCTTAGATCTTACGGCGTCGACTGCGCTGCCCCCTGGCCGCGTACGGCCTAACTTGCCCTAATACTGTGGGCAGTGTTTAGTTGTTACGATGTCAATTGGAACCTGTAAATCTAAAAGCACAGGCCCGTATGCACTTCTCCTGTAATATCTTTCTATGCTTTGACCATGATGTGTCTCGTAATTTATACTCGGTGAGTTCGATATTGGTAAACTAGTCCGCCTGATGTAGAATTGACGGCGGCGCGCTGGTCATCAAAGCAAACCTGTATTGGACCAGTAGGTCGTAAATCATTTTTTTGTATGGTACACGGGTTCACTTAGCTTTGCCACTTTGCCAGTGCAGTGCAGAGCATTGCTTGGCGGAGTATGTTGTTATGTATAATGCGTATTATTACTTATTAGTTGATATTATTATTTGTTCGTATCGTAACCAGTAAAGGGTAATAGTTATTAAAATAAATGTTATATGTAATTTAGCATGGCTCTCTGGAGACTCTTTAAAGCGGTGGATAACGAAATAACTCGAGAAAATCCCCAAATAGTGAAACCGGTCGGTCGAAAGTATCGAAACAAACTACGAGTTTAAAAACAAAGATTTACACGTAAACGTATTATACTAAATATGTGTATATGAATTTTGAAAATTGAAAACGGTGAACAATGTGATAAAAAAAAGTTAGGAAACATATTAACGAATTAACTAAGATATCAAAAACGACAAATTATCGCGTAATTAAAGAAGGATTGATCACGGTACAAAGAGGAAACGGAAAAATACAAAATTAAATAAAATTGACGATTTTAGCAGATGTAATGCGGCACACAATTTATAATATGTATAAAGAATATAAAGTTCCTACTTTAAACATGATTCGAGATAAATTAAGCGATTATCCTGATTATAATTATAAATCTTTAGATATTTTACGACATGCTTTATTACAATGCGATTTTAAACATAAAAAACTTGACAGTCGTATGGTAATATAGCTCGGAATATAGTATATCTAAACGAGACAGGGCTAAATTTTTCTGGACGTCTATGGATTCCGTAGAATTTATGAGTTAAAT